AAAAAGAATTTAAAACTGATTTATTATTTGTAATTATTTTTTATATTTGTTTACTTCATTATATTTTTTTAAATACTTTAATTTTAATAGATTTGAATATATAAATAATTTTAGTAGAAAATTAATTTTAAACCATTTTTTTGTTTTTCATTCTATTTTGCATAATTAATACCGTATTACTTACCTTATTAAAATCTTATAATAATTAAATATAAAGATAGGTAAAAATCACGTGCATTCTACTAATTATAATAAAAATCATATGTATTAAAACAGCGACCCACACTGTTTTTTTATATATATATATATTGCTATGATTTCTTATAAAAAATTACAAATCCATAACGTTGATAGTTCGTTTTTTATTCAATCTTCTCTTTTTACTTAGCTTGGTGCTGTCAGATCCAAGAAACTTCGGCTACCTTTCATTAACTCATTTATCGGGTCATCTGACTCATTATCATTGTTATTCTCCTATATATGATATATAGTAAGAACTGAGCCAACTGCGGTCTCGTTCACGAGATACTTTCTAGTAATGATTTTTTTGCCAATCGTAGTGTGGCGAAATTTAAAGCCACTATTAAGCCATCAGAGATACACTTTATAAGGGTTGAATCCCATTTATTTCATCTTTGCTTATTACTTTGAAGCGTTTTTCTTTTTTTTTTCGGAATGCCACCAAGAAGGGGAAGACAACCAACGCGTAGAGAAAATCCTACTCGTATTAATAATAGAACCACAAATAATACTAATAATGATAATAACAATCAACCTTCTCCAGAAATTTCTGCACAAAACAACGATCAACGAGCTAATGATAATAGACCTATAGGTAGACCTAGAGGTCGCTTACGAGGACGCCCTCCACGTCCTCGAGGACGACCACGAGGTAGCTCACAAAGCCAATTACACTCAATTTTAGCTTCTCAAGGTGAATCCTTCAATCAAACTGATACAAATCTTGAAGCTTCGGATCCTGACGTTAACTCATTAAGAGACGAAATTAGTTTAAATGAACTGGTAAATCTTCAACAACAAATCCAATTTCAAAGTGATCGACGTTCTAGAGGGCGACCTCGTGGAAGTCGGACTAATCATCCTATACGTAATTCGACATCGCAAACAACGGTACCTCAAGAAGTATCTCAATCAGATGTAAGAGATGAAATTAGCTCTAATGACAATATTACAATTTCTCAAGAAGTTCCGCATCAAAGTAGTCACCGTCCTAGATCACGCCCACGTGGAAATTGGGCTAATTATTCGACAAACAGATTGAACACACATCAAGACACTACTCGGTCTCAAGCAGATCAAGTTATACTGAATGATGACGTGCTTTCTCAAGGACTGGATCCTCAAAATCAACGTTCTAGAGGTCGTTCGCGTGGAACCAGAGCGTCACGAAGGACTATTTCACAGGTTCATGCAAATCGAGAAGCAAATGATAACTTGTCAAGAGATGCTGAAGTTAGTGGAAGTGAATCTCGAGGCGATGTTTCTGGTAATTTGCGTGAAGAAATTATTAATGTATCAAACCCTCTTGATAATTCGACTGAGGTAGTAGCCACTACTATTGCTGATAATTCACATGGACAAACAAGTTCCGTACCATCGTTAGGAAATGAAGAAGATGAAGTTGATGACGGTGGTGATCCTGAGGCACATATAATGGAAGAAAATGAGCAAGATCGATGGAAAAAATTTGAAGTTGGTGCGAAATCTAACAAAAATTTATGCATTATACCTGATGGTGCAGTGAACCTTACACGTCAACAAAGAATTACAGCATTTCTGAAAGTTGCACCAGAGATTAAACCTTCAAGAAAATACGAGGAACTTGACAGTTCATTAAAGACCGTTGTGGAATTTTTGGATAACAATGAAATTATAAAAGCATTTTGTTGTCTTCAACAAATATCGAGATCTCATACATATATTACATTTCAAAGGTTGGATAAATATAAGATATTTAATAAGTTAAATGAAAAGTATGACAAAAATCAAGATATTATTGATGAATTCCTCATCGAAGATGGTAAACCATCACCCCTTTTTTCGTTATTGATTAATGGGTTAAGAACAAAATTAGACGATATCTTAACAACACCACATTTGGTGGACTCCAACTGTGCAAAAATTCGTCTCCGAGACGTATTAAATAAAAAAATCAAATTAAAGTTCGTTGGTAAGACGGAAACTTATTTGAAGAAAGCATGGCCTTATCGACGGTTTAAAAATATAAGTGAAGGATTAACTCGTCGAACAATGACAAACAATGAAATCGGGAGCTTTGATTCGACTCATTTTGATTCTAGTTCTACCGAGTCTCACACGTCGGGTGATGATCATGATGATTTTTCGGAAGGCGGTGATGTCGTCGAAGAAATCACCGATTTAAGCGATGTGTCTGAATTGTCTGAAACCGAAACTGATGATGAAGAATTTGACCATGAGGATGAAAATGATGAACTTATACATGATGAAGATACTATTAATTCAAACAATCAAGAAGTAGCAAATAATAATGACGCGGATGCTCTTGTCCAAGATAATTTACATAATGAAGATCCTCTCGGTTCAATTAATCAAGAAGTAATAAATAATGACGAGAATCCTTTAGGTGCTAGGAGACGAGATATTGTTCCATATGATTGGGAAGAAGAAAGCAATAACGATGAAAGTGGCATGGAACCGCATATCGCGTCTGATGATGATTTTTCTGATTCAAGCGTTTCTGATCATTACACTTTTTGGTTTATGAAGGATGGTGTTAAAAAGAAAATAGCATTAGATTCGACTGTATATACGGTTATTCACAGTTATTTAACAAAGAAAGAAATTCATACGCTAAAGGTAGATGAAATATTTGAAAAAGAATATATTATTCACTTCGAAAAGGTTGAGGAACAGACATATGAAAATGATAATGATTTACTTGATGAATTAGAATTTCATGATCAAATGCTACTTATTTTAAATCTTATGAGGAATCTATATAATACATATAACAGAAGCGTTTTTGATTACTATGATCCTGATATATTTCGAAGCTCTCAAATAATTCAGAAATTGAGACCATTCGAAAAGAAGTTAATAAGTCGTATTACTGGGTATTATCCTAAAGTGATCGTTACGCTTTTGAGCCACTATGGATTCTTATTTGACGGCTTTTGTCGTCACAAATATTTCATTAGAAATCTCTTCGGTCTTAGGAAGGTACCAAGAGGCTTGTCTCTAAGTCTAATCGATTTAATTAGGAGTAAAAAACTTTTACCAAAAACAAAGAAAAAAGAGAATGTTCAAAAAGAAGGATTAACTAATTGGACTCGAGAGAAGTTCCACAAGTATTCTGATGCAAAAACAACTTTTGGAATTACTTTCGCAGGAGAAATGGGAATAGGCGCAGGCGTAACGCGTGATTTTTTCACACAAATGTCTCATTATTTTCAAACTGTCGGATCTAATATGTGGATCGATCTTGAAACCTCACCCAATCTTGATGATTATGTGAGCAATGAGTACAATTTATATCCGACACTGTTTGATGAAGCATATGCTGCTTCAGATGAAGGAATTCGCGTGCTTAAGGATTTCTACATTCTTGGAATGTTGACTGCGAAATCATTAGCCGACAAACAAATTATGGAAATTCCCCTCAACAAGTTATTCCTCAAAAAGCTCATTTTCGGAGAGTTCCCAACTCCGGAACTTTTCAACTACGATTTTACAAAAACCGAAATTCAAAGTCGCAAGAAGGAAATGAAAGTTAAAAAATTGCTTGGATTGATAGATCAAATTAATCCTTCGATCACTAAAATGATAAATCATTTTCATAGCGTTCAGAATAATTTGGAATTTTCGGATTGTTATTACATTCCAGCTGGTCGTAGTTGGCACAAAAATAATCTGGTGTCCATTGATCTTCCAGAATTGGAATCACAGAATAGTTTCTATGTGTTCTTGAATAAAATCAAAGAAGTAATATTTGAAACTGGAATCCGTGAACAAATAAGTAAATTTAGAGAAGGTTTCAATCATGTGTTTCCTCTGGATCACTTAAAAAATTTCTATACTGTAGAGGAGATACATAAGGTGGTCTTTCACAATAAAAAAGAGGATTGGTCGGCAGATGTTATTCGTCGTGCTTTCTTTGTTAATAATGAAAGCTTTAAAAATGAGGTGGATAAAATTTCACAAATTTTATCAAAATTCAATATCGATGAGCAACGAAAGATGCTCCGTTTTTTTACCGGATCAACAAGGCTTCCTATCGGTGGATGGACCAAATTAAAACCTGAATTAGCTGTCATTGAAGACACGGGAGCCTACCCAATCGGTAGGACATGCTTCAACAAGTTGTCTGTTCCTCGAAATAATAGTCTCCAAGGCCTGGAGGATAAGTTGAAGTTAGTGATCAACAATAGTGAAATAGCAGAACGAATCGACAGAGAATAAGAATATGATCTATAGAAATTAATAATTAAATTTTATAATTTATTATTATATGGGATTACATTCGCTTTGTCGTTTTATTGTTGTTTCATTTTGCATTATTCTTTTTGCCCCCTTTCTGCGATATATGATAGCGTCTTGTATTATAGCTTCTCTCTGTCTTTTTTTTTTTTTTTTTTTTTTTTTTTTTGGCAATTATTATGTAAATACGGAAAAGTTAAAATATTTAAAGTTGTTTACAGTTTCGAAAGTAAATTTATTATTTAAATAGTACTATGATTGATTACTGTATACTATTCAGTTTATATACGTATAAAATCGTTTTATCAAATTAGAATAAACGATACTAAAATAATATAAATATAAAGTGTATATATATATATATATAAAGCAAAGCATTGCATATAACAAAAAAAAAATTATTTCTAATTTCCAGACATTATGACAATTATTTAAAAATTTCAATAAATAAGTACAAAAAAAAAAAAAAAAAAAAAAAAATTAAAGTATACAAATTAAAATAAAAAAAAATGCGACTTAATCTATCTGGAACTTAATTGTGCAATGTAAGAATCTAATTCTTGTGCAATTATATGATTCGTACATTTACTTTGAATTTCTCTGTGAGATAAGATAATAACTTTATAAATACAAGATAATAAATAAAGTACAAGGCTCCTTAAAAGAATTGAATTACAAACCTCAATAATTGAATATCCTTTAATGCAAGTGCTTCTTGACCCGCCGCTTTGAAATCGCCTATTTTAATAAATAAACCTGGTCTTACGGCAGGATCACATTTTTGGATGTATTTTGCAGCTTCTCTGTGTTGCATAGCTTTTATACATTCTTCCACAAATGGCTAATAAAATAAGAATAATATAAAAGGTTAACGATATGTAAAATAAATGATAATTGAATATGCGTTAATCATCATACCTCGTATCCAATCGGAGATTTTTTCAACTTGGAAAGACGATCTAATTCATCCCAATCTCTCAACTCCACCAAAGCTTTTAATTTGATCCACCAAAATCTAAAATATAAATTAAAAAAAAATTTTTTTATGTCAATTCTATAAATCAGAAGTAAATCTACACTTAATGACGTAACAAAAAACTTTACCTTTTATCCGGAATTTTGAATTCTGACTTAAGTTTATTTGCTTTACTAGAATGATTAGTAGTAATGCATTTGTGAACTGTATCGTTCAACGATAATCCAACTAATTGTTGATTTGGTATTTCCTTTTCTAACTGAGATTGAGTTTGCAACAATTTGATATATTCATCAATCGCCTATAATCGTAAGACAATCTAATTAATAATTTGACAAACACACAACATTCAATTTATTCACACTATATTTTAATAGTACCTTCGCTTCGAAAGCATGTTCTTTATCATCTTGATACCATTTTGATGCTACCTTTAACTTATTAATCCTTTCATTCAAATCCTTTTTAACAATAAAAAGACATAAATAAAATATTTATGTATTTAAAAGATAGAGAGAGATACGTTTGAGGAATGACTCACCTTTCGCTCATAACTTTCTAATATTGTAATGTTTGCACTCTCAACTCTTCGATCATCTTGATAATAAAAATCCGTTAAAAGGTTCAAGTCTTGTTGTTTACAATATACTTCAAGCAAATTACAAGCCATAGGTTTGTTATTAATTATTCGGAAAAATTCAGGAAGTGGAAGCTTCCTTTTAAGATGAAGCATTACCAAATATACTGTATATCCAATAAGAGTTAATGAGGCTTAAAAAAATTTCATTCAATTTGTTTTATATTATATAATATTACCTAAATCTGTATCACCACTCTCAATAGCCTTTATCAATGCCAATTCATCTTCTTGCACTCTCATGAGCAAAGGTACTTGATCGGCTGCACGCGGCTCATAATCAAGTAACTATAAATAAATTTAAGATTAATTAAAGCTGGAAAATACGTCTGACGTAGGCATGAGGAAAACAAATAATAACTAACCTTTGTTGCTAATTTTGGCTGTCCAACTTTATACGCAGTATCAGCAATGTCCTTATAAGAAAGACCGGGCTTATTGGCCAATTTATCCGCAATCATACGACAAATAGTTTCTTCATCTTCAGTCGATTTTTTGATCTAAAAAATTAGATAGATTATAAATATACGTATTGATTTGTTTGTTATTTATTTATCTGCTATTTTTTTAGTAGAAAGAATCAATAAAATTGGCACCTTTGCACAAGCCCAATGGATCAACACTCTATCAGTTCTCATCTTCAAATATTCACAAATTCGTAATGCTAATAAATGGTGATGTCGGGTTATCAATCGATCAATCAATACATCAGGAGTGAGGCGCTCAAATCTAAAAATATAATTTTTGTTATATATTTATAAACTCAATCTTTATTTAATAATAAAGGTCTTACGTACTGTAAGTAAGTTATAGGTATTCCGATCTCATAATATCTTACAGAATTTAACACCCTTAAAGTCTGACACATGTTCACAAAGTTATCAGCATTGTACGATTCCAAAAACGCTTTACCAAACGCGGCAGCCTTGAGTAAACTACGCTGCCAATCCTGTTTAAATTCGTGTCCAGCTGCTTCCGTACAAGCATCAACTGCGTCTGCAAGTTCTGGTCGAATACTTCGTATATTTTCATCTGCTTTTGGACTTTGTTTCTGAAAGTAAATAAATGTGAGAACTTTATTCTGGTAGATCAATTATCGTATTTTAACTTCTTACTTCAAAATTTTCTAAAGCATCGAATAACATGGCTGCTGGTGCGGTTGAACCGATTTTGAAAATTTCTTCGGTGACATCTATTGTAATAAAGTATTTAATATATTAATCATAAGAAATTATATATACTTATTTATTTTATCATTCTATCACATACTTGGAACTTTTTGCAAGAATTCACATTTGTCACTGCTTATGACGCGCACACCATCAATTTCAGGAACCAAATAAATAGTATCATCATATGAATATTTTATGTAATCACCAAATGGACCAACCATTAACACAATCTTATCCCAATATAATACAACCGAATCAGTACCACACCTAAAAAAAGATAACAATTATTAATAATGTACGTATTATTCTTTTTTAAAAGAATAAATATAAAGAAGCCATCATACCAAATTAGTTGCTGAGGCGGAGCTTTGAAATTAGTAGTAAATTCCGAAAGATTCTTATTGAAATCAGTAGATACCACCCAAAGTTTACCGTCAGCAGTAAAAAGAGCCAGAAACTTTCCGTTAGGTGATACAGCCATTTTAGTAAATGGTCCTTGTTGAAGCAGCTGCATTAAAATAGATCTTTTTTGTTAAATAATAAATTTGGAATTAGATCAGTTATACTTTATAAAACGCACTTGATCTTGAGATTCTTTAGTGTCAACGGTCAAAATCGTAGAACCGGTTGCTAATAATACTTCTACATGACGGCTAAGTGTATATTGAGGTGGAATTACCGTCCAGCTATGTGGTGGCTCGTTTAGACCTTTTATATTCAAAATTGATAAATAATTCGAAAAACTATTATATTATGGTTAATTAATTATGAAAATATCAAATACCTGGATCTGCCATAAGATGTGGTCTAGGTTCCTCAAAGTTGGTAAGAACTATTAATTTAAAATTTCCAGTTAAAGCTACCAACCCAGTTCCCCATATCTGACAATCAATAACAGAATATTCTTTTGCTTCCTAATAAAAAATATTTAGCATATCAAATACCAGTCCAACATCATCATAATGCAAAAATGAACTCACTTTAACAAGGGAAAGTTGAGTATATTCTCCGTTGATGTCATATAACCTAATTGTACCATCTTCCAAAACTACAACAAGCTTTTCTGATTCGGACCAACCCATTGTTATAATTCGACCTTTGTCCCACTGGAAAAAAAAAATTATTTTAATTCAGAAATAAAAATTTGATATTAAGGATAAGAAGAAAAATTAAAATTTACCTGTAATTGTTCCATCAATTTTCCTGCAGAGGTATAAAGATAAATGGTAGGTTTCACCGGCTGTTGCTTTTGTAACGTCAAAACCTTTTTATCATCACGAATCATTGCTGTGAAAAAAGGAAAAATAATTTCGAACAAGATTTCAAGATCATTGAATTGAATTGATTTACAAGGACGTATTACGAATAAAAACAACGATATTTAGAATATCTACCAATTGGACCACCATATGAAGCTCCTGCAATCATATATTTTGAAAGGTCCATATGTTTCCAAAGCATTGTATATATTTCTTGTTTCCTAGGAACAAAATTTGTTTAATCGGAATTCTTTAACAGACATCTTACAGCCGAAGGGCATTTCTTACCGATAGAAACGATCTTGCATTTGAATCCAATCAGTTGTCGGGGGCGCCATTTTGAGAAATAATAATAATGCACCAGAATTAGTCAGAACCTTGTATTAAAGATAAAACAAGTTTGAGCTTAAAAGAGGAAATATACAATATAGATTCTAAAATATAAATCTTATTGTCACTCTAACATACAGAAAGATCATCCCATTGTTAGATCAGATTGCCATGATGTAGTACGAATTAAAACGCGTAGGTTTCAAAGTCTCCTGCGGCTAAAAACTGCCGTCTGTAATTATAAATTTTTTTTTTGAAATTTGCGGAATTATACGCGTTATATTCCGTAAGTCATGAGCACCAGGCCAGTTTCTTCTTTAAGTTTACGTCCAAGCACCCGAACCAAACTGATCAAAGCTGGCTTTCAAACGATTAAAGACTTGCAAGAAACCACACTTATAGAATTGAGTAAAGGTTACTATTTGCTGTTAAGGCCACTTCGCTTTCTATACTTTTATTAATTTTTTTTTTATTTTTATTTATTTTAAGAAATAGGGATATCGAACAATGAAGCATTAAATATATTGCAACAAATAAAAAAAAGTACTATATTCATTAATATATTTCAAATTGATTAAAAGATATTTAAGTAAAAATTTGTGAATTTATAGATAAGGTTACATCAATTTCTGCATCAGAAGCGTTACAACAAGAACGTAAACTATGTCCTATATCTACTTCATGCGAAGCTATGGATCAGATGCTTGGCGGGCGAGGAGTTCCCATAGGAAAAATAACTGAGTTCTGTGGTGCTCCTGGTATGGGTAAAACACAGCTAGGGTAATGTTCGGATCATGAAACCTTTTTTTTAAAATATATAAATAAATAAACATATATATATACTAAATTATATCTTAATTCATTGTAGGATGCAACTTTGTGTTAATGTTCAAATACCACATAATTTATCCGGCCCAGGAGGAGAAGCAATATTTATCGGTATACAATGATGGTTACTTCCCATTTTATGTAGTTATAGAGATTATTTATTCACAATAGTTTCTCTATCAAGATACGGAAGGAAGCTTTATCGCTCATCGTGCTGCTGAAATTGCTAAGGCAACAATTACAAAACTTAACGAAAATACCGTAGCTGGAGATGGTGAGATCTCGTGGCTAATATATGATAATTTGTTATAATCATATTCATATTTTTTTTAAAAAAAAAATAGATTCTCTAATGAACTTTGAGAACGTCATGTCAAGAATTTATGTGTCAAAAGTTCATAACTGTGATGAGTTAATCGCGCTTATGAAAATCCTAGATGAATTTTTACAAGAACATCCAAATGTAATTTATACCTTTTAATTTGCTCAATTTAATTAGTTGCAATATTAATAAATTTTTTTCAGGTAAAACTTCTTGTCATTGATTCAATTGCATTTCATTTTCGTCAACAATTTGATGACATGGCACTTCGAACGCGACTGCTAAATGGGCTGGCTCAGGATTTAAATAAGTTTGCACAAACTTATGAACTTGCCGTGAGTACATTTTATGTAATAAAAGATTTAAAGTTATCACTAATAAACATGTCATCTCTTTGATTTAGGTTGTTTTGTTTAATCAAATGACTACAAAATTTAAATTATCTAGAGATTACAATGTTAAAGATCAAGCCGCTTTAGTTCCAGCTTTAGGTAAAGAAATTGAGATCACACAATTGAAATGTTCATATGAATTTATTTACCATGATTTATTTATATAGGTGAAAGCTGGGGTCATCAATGTACAAATCGTATAGTTCTTTATTGGCGTAATGAAGTTCGGTAAGATTGGCTTAAAAATATCTTGTTTTATTTTCATATATTGATGTTTTTTATAAATGCAATAGTTGCGCACAACTTGTCAAGTCACCTAATTTACAAGAAACCACTGTACATTACCAAATTAATGTAAGCACGTTAACGATAATGTATCATATTGATCTAAAATCTATTACCAATAACAAATTATTATTAAATGTTTAGTCGGATGGTTTTCGCGATTATCTATCAAACCTTAATAATAATGGTAAAAGAAGATGGGAAGAAGAAAAAATCATTCAGGATAATACTTGAATATTTGTTTGCATTAAAATTTATAACTTTTCATTAATACTTACCATCAAGCTTTAATTTTTTTAAATCAAAGCTTGAATATCTAGTAACTTTCAAAAAAAAAATTCGAATAGCTTCAAAGAACTTATTAATATGTTCTTTGTCTTATATTATATAAAGAATTCTTTATTGAGTTTATCACGTTCTTACAGCGAGGAACGAGTGTGCATAAGATCAAATATCTATATATTATATCCTACATAATAGGAATTTCTGAGCTTTTATAAACATCTATCCGATGCAAATAACAATTAAAAACCCTTGATTAAATGGTTCGGTCTCGTCTTTTTTCTATATGCTAAATAAATAAATTATATATCATCATCGTAAATAATATCTAAATTGAAAAGGATTATTAAAAATCTTACCTCGACAACTGAAGTGCCATCTCGAAATCTTGTACGAAATAATACATTAGCATTATTAAACATTCCGTCTTTGAGTGACACAACAATAAACTGTGATCCTTTAAACCGAGTTCGAAGTAATTGTCCAATATTTTGCGTATGTGAAAGGTCTAGTGCCGCATCCACTTCATCAAGTATGTACATTGGAGCAGGTTTAAATTGTAATAATGACAAGATCAACGATAAAGCAATAAGCGATCTATTAATTTACGATTAATTCAGTTTATAAACAAATTCAAATAATCATACTTTTAAAAGATATGCGTTCGAACTTACCGTTGACCACCACTTAGCTCTGATAGACTTTGTTTCCATACTCCTCCAAGGCTCACTTTAACTTCTAAACCTTTCATTAGATCTTGACCCTCGGGTGGTTGAAGTTTAGCGAAGCTATTTGGCAACAATTCGCTAAAAATGGCTCCGAAATCCCTAATAAATCAATAAATGAATTAGAAACTATTAAATTTTATCTTTATTATATCAAAAATTTTCTTACTCGGAAACTTTCTTCCAAGTTTTCTGTAATGCATCTTTCTTGTAATCATCGAGAGACACAATAGTAACCTCAATTTTTTTCTTATCTTTTTTGACAGTTGTTAACATTTGCTTCAAAGACGCTTCTTTCTTTTCCACACTAAAAAATATAAAAATATATTATTATACATAAGTAGTATTTAATGATCTTTCCATAACTTTATAAAAAATAAATTCAAACCTGTCAATCATGTTCATAACTTTAGCATTGATTTGTTTACGCATATTGTTACGATTCATCTCAAGTTGCCGTAACATCTTTTTGCATTCGTTCGGGTTTTGATTTATAAAATCATATGCGGTACTAGGTTTTCCGAAATGGCTATGAATAAAATTGTTTTAGAATACATTGTGATAAAATGACAAAAGAGTATTATACATAGAAAAGTAATAAAGAAAGTACTGTTTTTGATTTAAAATCCAAGTGTGCTCGCTTTCCATTTGTAAAATAACTTGTTGAGATGCATTCATATCTCTTTGAAGATTTTCAACTTCATGATTAATCTTGGACATTTCTAATTGAGTTTCAGTCATTTGTGCTGTTTTTGTTTTAATAACTATTTGAATTTCCGCAATTTCCCCATCAAAAGCCGAAAGCACCTCTCTTTCCTTTTCTAATTCAGTTTGAGTTTTATGTAATAAACTCTTAAAAAAAATAATTAAATAACATTTAGGTAAACATGTGTAATTGTTGAAATATTTTATCAGTACAATTAATATTAACCTTAAACCGATCTAGCTCATTTCTCAAAGATTCATCATCTTCGGATAATTGTCTAATGTTATTATCAACATTATCAATTTCTTCGTTGACGTTTAGCAGATCTTCTTCTAGTTGTTCTTTATATGTATAAATTAAAAAAAAATTAATTTTCATTTTCATTAAATTGAAGTTTGGTAGCTTCAAAACTTACTAATCTCCAAACATAAAGTTTTAACATTCCTCTCCATATTCATAACAACTTGATTACTTTGTGCGATCTCTGATTTTCCTTTAAATACTGATTTCTGCATCAAATATATAATATATGAATAAATTACATTCCTAATTCTTTTAGTTACTTTTTTTTAACTCATTTGTTTACCTCTAGATCTTTTAGTTTTGAATCTCGATTATTTTTGAACTCTTTCATTTCATTTTCAATTCTTTGACATGAATCTAAAGCAGATTTCCGTTTTCCCTTAGCAGTCTCAATAATGTTGTCAAGTTCGATTATTTGAGATTTGGTATTCTCAACGGAATGAATGATCTAAATTAATGAATATTTAATGTAATGTATGCAAGCAAACATTAATCATTATGGTATTATTTATCTGTCAATTACCTGTGATTCACTACTACTGTTGATTTGTTGTTCTAACAACGTGACTTCATGTGTCTTTAACTCTAGCTGTTGTTTTATTTGATTGTACTCGTCTTCTATCCTTTGTATGCTTTGGATTTCAGCATTCAGATTGTCGAATTCTTCCTGATAATTCTTTAGTTGCTGTTTGTATCCTTTTAAAGTTTGCAATTTCAATAGTATTCCAGCAGATGAAGGTCTGGATCCGCCGTGAAGAGTTCCAGCTGGATCATAAACATCTCCTTCAAGAGTGACAGATTTTGCTCGTATATTCCTATCAAATGTGACATGTTTAGCCGTAGCGGCATCTGCACATATTAAGGTATTTCCAAACACATATTCCATAGCAGGTGCAACTTCACTATCATAACCGATTAATGTCAATGCTAAATTTACTTTCTCAGGAGCGATCCGTTTTGCACGCGCAAGCCTCTATATATTATCCAAAGAAATTTAGCAACATCAATTTTTAAAAGTTGATAGTTTCAATTAATCTCACCTCAGCTGATATCATGAACGATTGAATCTTATTTAAAGGAATTATTGTCACGCGTTTCCGTAATCGTCCTCTATCGAGAAGTTGATTTCCAACCTTATCATTCTCCACGACCACCTGTATTGTAAATATCAAGATTACTAATCCTTCTAAGTAAATAAAATTATAATTATGTGGTAAACCGTACGTTATACAATCTACCACCAGCACAAACTTCTAAAGCGGTCGAGCATTGCATATGTTGCGGATTCAATTGAATTAGCTCAGCAACTAAACCTTTAACTTTACTACGATCAAAGTTTGGTGTTGGATCACAATATTGAAAGTTTATGCTTGATAAATTTGATAAAGATTCACATTTCTAGTAAAACAAAAAAAATCAATAAATTAATTAATTAGTGCCTATTTCTTTAAGAATAAACAAGTAAAACAAATCACCTCTGTGAACTCTTGTATTTTTTTCTGTATTATAGAATTCTTATTCAACAAACTTTCTTTTTTACTTGGATCCCAATTAATGTTTGATAATGTTCTCTAAACAATTTAAACGTTTTTTAATACCAACTTCATAATTTACGATGAGTTTTTTTTTTTTTTTTTTAAGAAATGCATATAATTTAATACCATGAGATCTTGCGCTGATTTTTTAGTCGATTCATAAGTCATTGATAATTCTTGACTGGTAATTTGAGCCTTTTTTGCTAAAGGTTCTTTTTCTTTTAAATCTTTTTTGAGATGTGACATCCTTATTTTGGATTGTTCTATTTCTGTTAATGCATGAGATGCATTATTTCTTGCCTCTATAAATTCATCATATATCAATAATGTTAATATTATAATAAACAAAAATAGGTAAATTTAAATATACCTTGTAACTGCTCCATGTATCCATATTCGTGTCCCTCTTCTGCCGAAAGACCCGTAGATAAGGTTTGTAAAAGTTCATCTGCTTTTCTTACTTGTACACTTTTTTCATCATGAATTCTTTTTATTTCTTCGAACTGAATTTCTAATTTTTTAGATTCTTCGGTTTTGTGCACCAATGCTTGATTTATCTAGGTTATTTAACTCAAATTAACATCATGTTTATCGACTACATAATTTGATATAAATATTTTTTTTGATTCATTATACCTCAGCTTTGTTTGATAAAAGAAAACTCTTATTTTTCATTTCTTCATCGATAGAAGCTTTGTTGAGATCACATTTTGTATTGATGCGAACTAACTGGTTTGAATACTCCGTTACATTGTTTTCTAGTTCTTTAATATTATCACTTTTCCCTAGTTCCTGTAATCATTGCATAACTTAAATGTAAATGAATTAAAGTGACAAAATCAATGATAAATAAAGAATAAATACAAAATACCTTTTCTTTTTTAGATATAGTCTGCTTTATGTCCTCCTCCAGATAAGCGAGTTCTTCCTTGAGACGCTCACAAAACGTTTCTGATTCTTGAATTTTATTCTTCTTTGCTTCAACTTCAGCTCCCGAATTATTTAAATTTTCCTTAAAAATGAAAAGGAGAAAAATGGAATAGACATTTAATAGAAGCATTTGTATTTATATTTAAAAAGAATATAAAATTACTTGATTCTTTGTATATTCGTATGCAATAACAATTCGACTCAACCGTTCAATCTCAGTTTGAGTTTTTTGATATTCCAAATATGCCCTTTTTTCATTTCTCAATTTTTCCAACTTAGGCTCAATTTCTTCATTAAGTAGCTATTAAAAAGATATATATATATATTTCAATAAAAATGTTTAATTCATTGATATAAAGTCATGTTGTAACAATTACATTTGTGATTTCTTCAACTTTTTTTTCCTTTTTTGCGAGGGTTTTCAATGCTCTTTCTTTTCTCTCTTCAAACATACGTGTACCAGCAGCTTCTTCAATCATTGCCAAGATTTCTGGAGGTTTCATGTTAAGAACTTTTGTGATTCGACCTTGCATAATCAAAAAGTGCGGATTATTGATATTAAGCTGAACCGATTGGAATAGATTTCCAACGTTTTGCTGCTGAGTTCTTGTTCCGTTAACCATATATTTACTTTGTCCACCCATAATGACCTATCAAACATAGTTCATAGTTAAATAATAGAAAGCACTGTTTATATAAATTAATCAAACCAAGTTTTATAACTCACTTGTCTAGTTACACTTATTTTCTTATATTGTTCAAACCCAACGGGACTATTATTTCTATCTTCGTTATTAAACGTAATAGTGACTGAGGCTTTATTGACACCAGCTTGACCCCGTTTATAAATCAGGTCTTGCATGTTATTAGCACGAACCTAAGCATTCGAGAGATATGGTTAGGTTGGTTTTGTTTTCTAATGCATCAAACCGTTTGAATAATTTTTACCTGACTTAAGTTTGTTATGCCTAACACGAAACATATCGCGTCCAGTATATTTGATTTTCCAGAACCGTTAAGTCCTGTAATGGCATTGAATGAGGAGTCCCATCCAGAAATATGAGTACGAACCGCATAAGATTTAAAGCCTTCAATAACAATTTCTTCGATTCTCATTTTTCCTTGGATAACTTAATCAAAGGTATAATAATTCATAAAAAAAAAAAAAGGGATTACTTAAATATTATTTTAATTCTACGTCACGCGTTTAATGATTAGGACAGATCGGCAGATTGCATTTTCAAACAAATATTTGATGGATAAATTTTCGCTTAGCATTTATTTATTGAAATTACATAGAATTTATTCTAATTGATTTAATTTATCTCTGGAATTCTCCTATGAGATGTGTATTTTTTTACTGCATATTCTACAAATTTTCCAACAATACCTTTTCTCCATATACAGTCAGACCTATCTATAATCACTCCTTTTGGTTTTTGAAAATTACGTGATTATAGATAGGGTGATTATAAAAAAATAAAACCTATATATAATCATCAATTATATAAAAGACATACTATAGTGATTATATGTAGTGAACCCATATATAATCACCAGTTATATAAAAGATATACTACGGTGATTATATATAGTGAAAATTTAAAAGTCATGTGGTTTTATTATATATATCAAGTTTAAAATTCGCAATTTTATTAATTTCAAAAAATTAGTAACAAATTAATCTACTGTAAATATTCATTAATTTTTGAATATTTTCTAAAAATCTTTAAATCTTCATAATTAAAATTAGAATTATCCGATTGTTGAGCAAAAAAAGTTATAAAATTTTTTAAACCTTGTACTGCTTCTTTTATACCAATTAATTCTAATTCAAATTCACTATCAAATATAATTTCTTCATTAAGAACTTTAATTACACATTCAATTATTTATTTATCATCCAAAAATTCTTCAATTGGTAATTCTTCTAATTTTTCAGCATATTGTTTAATATCACCTAAAAATGAAATAGCAGATTCAAGTAAAATATCAAGAAGATCTTCAATATCTTCAAGTTTAGCATCCAATTCAATATCAATTTGATCAGATGATATTTCTTGTTGAATATAATTTACAGATGGTAAAATTCCTGTTTTAATCTAACAGTTTGAAATTATATTTATGATATATTTAACCATGCCTCTGATAAGTAATTAATTGCTTCTAATAAATTCAATTTATTTCTTAGTTTAAATAAAAAAAATAATTAATTTAATTATATAATATAAACTTAAATAAATAAATAAATAAATAATTTATCCTTACTCATTATTATCAAATTGTCTTATTAAATGTCAACAATAATTTTGTTTATATTTAACCTTTTTAAAAATAAATAAATAATTTAAAAATTAAAATTTTAATTAAAATTAAAAATTTTATTACTAACCTTAAAATTATTAATTATATCTGCATCCAATGATTGTAAATGAGAAGTAGTATTAGGTAGAAGATATTTAAGAGTTATATTTGTAAGTTTTAATGGTTAATTTTGAATTTTATTATTTTGATTTTTTGTTTTAAAATTTGCACTTTGTGATAGTCTTACAATTGCATCATTAGTATTAATTTCAGAAATCTAAAATAATAAAATTATAAATTATTATTATTATAATAATAATAAATATATTTTAAAGTATAAAATTTTTACCACTGATTAATTATTGTTAAAAATTATATGTGAAGATGCATTATCCAATAGCATTAAAATTTTTTGACCTTAAATTCAAAATTTAATATCTAAATCTTTTATCTAATGACAAAATATACTTTGCGTCATCTATACATTTTTACTTTAATAATAAGAAATTGGTAAATTGTGTAAATTAATTTCACAAAAATAACAAGGTTTTTGCACATTTCTAATTACAAGTGGCTTGATTTTTTCTGTTCCATTTGCATTACATGTTAATAAAACAGTAACTATTTGCTTATCCTATATAATAAAATATTATTCAATAAAATATATTAATTATAATAACATTTTCAGAAAAATTTATAATGTCTTTACCTTTTTTGTTCCTAAAACAGGTTCAGAAGCAAGTGTTTGATTAGGTATTATATGATAAAACAAACCAGTTTTATCACAATTAAATACATTATTTAGATTATATTTAAAAATTAATTTTTGTAATTTGGTTCTTTTTTCAAGTAATGCAGATAAAGAAACTGAATTTGCTTCTTCATGTATTCTTTATTTACTTAAATTATTTCTAGCTTTAAATCCATCTAACTAACTATTTAAAAATACAAGTGTATCTTCAATAATATTCAAATTTTTTGTAAATTCTTTTTGCCTTTTCTCATAAAATAATATCTGATATAATCATATTTTTTGATAATGCTTGCTTCACCTAAATAGAATGTGCCTCTTCAAGTAAAGAATATTTTATTTCACGATACTTATAAACTCAAGTTGTATTATTTATTGTAATAGAAAGCTATCATATTTTATATTTTAAAATTTTACTAATTGTTGTCCTTTCGATATAAAGGTCATAAAGTTAGTTAAAATGTGCTATAATATTTAAATGAGATATTTAAAGGTTTTTATTATAAAATTCACAAATTTCACATTTGGTTTCATCACTTATAAGTGTTCTTTTTCTTTTTTTTCTTGGAATATTATATTATAAGGTAAAAAATCTAATATATAGCTTAAGAAAAAAGTTGAATTCAAATGGATGTGTTTGATTAATGCGTATGAATTAATCTATTAATCAACTAGTAATTAAACAATTAACTATTATTATTTAATCAATTAATTGATCATAGTTTAGGTTATTAAATGATAATTAAATTAAATTAACAAAAGAAGATTTTATAAAAATATAATTTTAAAAAAAACTAAATTCAACAATTATTATCCATAAATAAAACATTTTCTTATATATAAATTGATGATGATTTCAAATAAAAAATAATTTAAGATAATGATTGTTAAAATTATAAAGAATTTTTAATTTAGTTTGCTTAGATAATATCTGCAATCATGTAACTAAATAAGCAAAAATAAATTAAAAAAAATATTTTTCTTTTTCAAAAATCTAATAAAACTTACTTATTTTCAATCATTTTTAGAAGGAAAAAAATAAAACCAAAAGCTTATTCTGAATTGACTATTTCTAAAAAAAAGTAAATCTTTATTAAAAAAAAATAAAATAACCAAAACATACTTATAAATCAAATAAAAAATTTATCTAAAAAAAATTACTACAATTTTAAATTATTTATTTCTAAAAGAAAAATGGTTTTTATTAGAAAATATTCAAAAATCTACAAAACAAAAAAAATACAAAGAAGACATTTTATTTTTAAATTGTCTATTTCTAAAGAAAAACATAAAGTTCTTACTAAAAAATAATTTAAAACTATGTATAAACTAAACTTATTCAAATTGCTAATTCTTTAAAAAAAATCAGTCTTCAACTGTTTTTAAAAGAAATATTGCAATTTCCCAAAGTTGATAAAAAAAAGATTGATAATCTGCAAGTCTCAAATAATAAAATTCAATTAGTGTAATGTAAAAAAATGTTTCAAAGGTATATTTTTTTAAGTTAGATCATTTATTTGTATAATACACTTGCTTAATACCAGCCAAAAATTATTGAGCAATGAACCCTTTGTCAACTAATGCTATTTAAAAATATGTTATGCAACTCAATTTAAAACATTGAAAAATATATTTTGTAAAACAATGCATATAAAATCAATACATATACTAAGATATTTATTATGTGATATGTGATTATAAATAGTTTATTTTGTAATTGTTTGAATATAAAATTTTCTTTTATACTAGTAATAGTGATTAGTATATAGTGGTAATTATAAAAAGTATATTTTAACCTTATAATTTTAAGACATTAAAATTAGGTGATAATAAACAGAATGTAATTATAAATGGGTGATTATAAACATGTCTGACTGTAATAAGTTATACTTGTTAACTTTGCAAAAATAAAATATTTTTAAATAAAAAGCCTGATAGACGAAACTTTATAGTTATAGATACTGTTAAGACCAATACAAATAATTATACATTATTAATAATAGTGATTTTATTTTTGATTACACTAATTGAAAAATTTATAATCATAGTAAATATATACATATATACTATATGTAGTAGACATAGTTAAATTTATTTGCAATTTGTTACATTATAAAGTTATTAATTAATGATTATAGGAAATTAAAACTTTTAAATAAACTCCTTAATTTTTGTTATTCTTTCTGAAATAATAATGTCTGGTTTTTCATCATACTATACTTCAAGAAGGAAAATTCTATTATCTTGACAAATGCATTTTTTTTGCTAATTATGATTAGTGATATCCTTAAGTTTTTTGACATCTTTATATCAGCTGGTGCTATGAAACTGATACTAAGCCTCTTGCACTTCCAATGCAATTTGATATTTTTAGAAGAAGGCGTTAAGCTCTAATTCTTACATAAACGTAGATACAATACTCAATTATCAGCTTCTCACAAAAATTTTCTTAACTATCTGGATGCATCTAGTCTGAAGTTTGTGATTTTTCTTAGATTCTGATTCTTTTTCAAGCTTATTGAGATACTGCTCTAACTTCTCAATTTTAGCATTACATCTGTTACTCTCTTTTATCATCTGCCTTATAAGCTTTGCATTTTTAGCATTAAATTTAGTAATACATTGCCTCAATGAATCTATTTTAGATTGCATGTCTATGTAATATTATAATATTATTATTTATACTTAATATATTAGTATTCAAAATCGGTAAAAATATGTAGGTTATTTTGATCATTCTCTGAAGGAATGGTTTTTTATCAAGAAAAAAACCCCTTAAAAATATATTTTTTTCAGGAGGATAATTTCTATTATTTCTTTGCCTTAATTATATAAAAATGCTTTATTAAAATAGTCAGATCATCTCCTGTAATAGCAAAGCTACCAAAAAGCATTAATATATACAAAAAATAAATACAAGAGTAGGACTTAACCTGTGATATATGATGATTTTTCTATGCTAATATTCTATCCTATTATTATATTTTTACCCACTTCAATAATTCTTGGAATTTAATCTGGCTATCAAATATTCACTTGATTTATCTGAACAAGTCCTTGA